TACTTACAACGATTTTACATGACTATTCAAATTATTGTCTCGATGAAATAACCCTGTTGCATACAAGGGTCAAACAGTATCAGACGACTCGTCAGTACGAGGATTTGTTGTCAGCCTAAACCTACCGTGCCCAGAGTTGTTGAAAAAATCGTGAGTAAGTGAATCAAGTATTTTTTCATGAAGCATATTCATATGTATGTGATAATCTCTCTTTTATATTGAGTGATTGTATACTTGGAGTGGATAACAAAGTGTGGTAATACTCGACAAGGTTGGATGATATCTGACTATGTATCCGTTCTGTATTGAATGTTTTGTTCCTATGATACAAAAATCACCATTGCATATTTCCAACAAGTCTCTCGAGGTACATTGCCGATTTTTTGTAAATCAGGTGACTGACTAGGTTATAATCTCATTTAATAATTTGTGTTCACATTGTGTCGTTTATTTGTACTTTGACCCTGGCTAGTCTAATAGATAGCGTAGAGTTTTATAAAGTTCATTGACACAACACTGACCAGAAACGTTACATCAGTACGAATAGCAATCACCGAATATAGAAAACATAGATTTTATACTGTATTAACGGGTGACGTGTAACTGTACACCCTGTCAGGTGATTATTAAATTATCATTGCATCTAGAACAGAAACATATAATACACATCTTATGAACTCACAGTGTGTTTAATTATGGGGGCGATGCACATAAATCAATGATATTGTCTTGTTGCTATACAAATATTTTTGACATATCTTTAAATAAAAAAAAACTTGTGCAAACAAGCACCTACTACTCAGCAAACATCAGCAAATTATTATATGACATTCTCAGATTTTTTAGAAATTTTAATTCTTAGATTTTCTTATGCAGAACCTTTCTGTGAACACAACCCCTCGCTGCCCCGTTCCCTCGTTCTCCTCCCTTACAAAGGTTACAAACCCTCTATATTAAAAGTCAAAACACTAAGGCAAGTGACCAAGTTGAAAATAAGTTGATACAACACAATGTATGGTAGAGAATCGCCAGGTTTACACATTCCAGGCTTTATTTCTATCCGAGAAATTCTTACAATTCATTCATCTTACAACTAAAGTAAGCGAGTGAACAAAACACAAAGAAAAACCTAACGACAAAGAAAATACAAAAAGGTTACAAATACATAATACACTCGGCGTTTCAAGGAAGCATATTCAAGAAAAATATAATCGAGGTGCAATATACAGTTTAAATCAAATGAATGGTAACAACATTGTTATGACAAATAGCACATGGTCGAACAATTCAGAATACAAAGAGTATTACTCACCCCGTCAATTAGCAAACCCTAAATTCATTCCCGAAATACAGTGACAGTCTTCATAATTTACAGGAAGTGCCATTACAGCCTTTTTTAGGTGAAATTGCATGAATGGTAACAACATTGTTATGACAAATAGCACATGGTCGAACAATTCAGAATACAAAGAGTATTGCTCACCCCGTCAATTAGCAAACCCTAAATTCGTTCCCGAAATACAGTGACAGTCTTCATAATTTACAGGAAGTGCCATTACAGCTTTTTTTAGGTGAAATTGCACACTGGAATAAGCCAAGCCGAGTACCTTCTCAATGAAAGTTCAGGAGTCCTCTGCCACACCCAGCCCAACTGCTAACTTGCCACGCCCAGGTTATCTGGGTAGTAATTTATGCAAATGAATCATCTTCCTTTTAGTGATTCTATCGGCGAGCTCCTCCTGTGCGCATCTAAGTCTACTAGAAACATCATCTGCACGTCCTTTCTCAGTCAAATATAATTTTTCAAAAGTTGACATTTGTTTAACAGTTTCACATTGTAAAGCCAATTCGCATGATCAGCCAATCGCTGCAGTCGTTGGCACGATCACGTGATTACCAGGGATGTGTCTCACGTTTAAAGCCCTGCAAAGTTGCCACTACTAAATACAAAAAGTAAACAATCTATTTATCAAATTTCTGTAATATAGGTTTTTTAATGTCTACGCTAAACATGCAAGTTGTTGATTCTAAACAATAGTCTAACGATGTGTGAACCGAATGTCTGAACGAGAAGTCGCTATCATAACAACCTTTAAATCTGTTTAGTTAAGTTCATTTTGTAATATGTTTTAATATATCTACAGTACTCGCAACGCACGGGAATTGTTACTATACTGACATATAACATTCAAATGTTAATTATACATTCATTTTGGTGACAATTAGTTAGTGGATCCGACCGTACAGCCTATTGGTAACAAATCGTTGGGTTGGGGTCTCCTCTTTTATGTCGTCTTGATTTCATCTTATAATGTTTCTTGAATAATTTAGAAACTGGTAGTATGCTTTTTCTAGAGCACATTGTGATCTCTTTCAAATGCTAATATGGTATGTCTTTCCTTGGGGTATTCACCCCAGAATCAACTCCTGATCAGTAATTCAGTATATTGCATTGTCAATCATCAATGCCAGCTTGATGTGAAACAAGTTCAAATTAATGCTACACACATACTGCTTATTGGCCCGATGTAGTCAGCTTCCAAGAACCAATTAGTCCACCAATATATACCACTACCATAACGGCCAATATAACGCTTGCAACACCTATTCAGTTGTGCAGATGCGCCAAAATCGAGGATACCTTCTGTTTTTTAAGCTATTATATAGCCTAGGAGGTGATAAATCTTCTCTCCCAGGTTGTCGTTAGTTGACGTCACTATTTCACAGCATCATCGTCTTCTAGTCTTTTTATGTATTAATGGTGTGTAACAGCTAAATTGTCCAGAAAATGGTCTAAATTGTTCAAAAGTTCAAGTTCCCAAGAACAAATAAGTCCACCAATATAACCATATAAAGCAATTCGACCAATTAACAGTTACACCAATTAAGTATTCAAATGTTATATATACGACGTATATACAAGAGTTCAACGTAATTCTTATGCACTGAAACTGAAAATCTTTGGTATCAATGAACTAATTTTAGCTTATCGATAATTTCACTTTATATAAACGTTTATTTCGACTAAATGAGAATAAGAATAATGTGCATATGCGCCACATATGAATATCAACACATACTTATATGATACATCGTGGTGATGAAGAGTCTTTCGCGATCAGTGATATTCGCAAAGCAATCGATTACAATATCATTATAGATTTGCAATTCCCAAAGCTGATACAGTGTCAGCATTCATAAATTTATTTATAAACAAAGCCAAATTCACTCAACACAATTTTGTTTACTTTGTATTTGCTTCTTTGAAAATCGAATATTATCGCTCATGCGTTTTTCGAGCAAAACACATCGAGGCAAAAACTGGAAGACTGGAGGAAATTCGTCAATGATAGCCAAGGCTGTATAATTCACACATACTGCAATATACAAACGGCAATTTATCAAAAGAAAATGCGTTCATAGTACACACACTATGCTACAACAAAATTGTGTTGATCACCATTGTAGATTGTCAGGCAAATATATTACTGGCCAGTGTATATTGTCGCTAGAATAGGATAAAGTGCCACCATCTTCAACTCCAAACAAAACTAGTTTTTGGTATACAACCAACCAATGTAATCACGTGGCTCTACTTCCGCGGATTATGTTTAGACACAGGATGTATTGGCCATGGGTCACTAAAACCATTAAAAGCTCAAGTCACAATTGTTGGAAAATACCAGTATGTTGCGAACTATATAATATGATGTTATTGCGAAGATGCCTAAAACTATGCACGAAGACAGTACAGCGAGAGTATCGACCGACGCGCAGCGGAGGTCGATGCGACGGCGTACTATGTAAGTGCATACTTTGAGGTATCCTCGTAATAACCTTTATTATTATATATCTTTTCCTTCCAAGGATACATCAGGGGAATGCCGAATTCCCAAGAGTTTAGAACAGAATTAGCGAAC